ACTTTTATGCAGCTCTACATATACCTAAATGATTACATTTAATTCTTTCTACATACGCAAACTTTTATGCAGTTCTCTATATTTCTACAAATAATTATTTTCTAATCCTTTCTGCATACGCAAACTGTTACACAGTTCTACGTACACCCAAATAATTATTTTCTAATTCTTTCTGCATACGCAAACTTTTACACAGTTCTCCATATACTCAACTAATTATTTCCTAATTCTTTCTGCATACGCAAGCTTTTACACAGTTCTACGTACACTCAAATAGTTATTTTCTACTTCTTTCTGTGTACACAAACTTGTATGCAGTTCTCCATATTTTTTATTCTATGTAGGTCAGCGTGTCCAACTCGTCCTGCAGTTGATATAGAAGTCGATAAAAAGGGAACTGTGTCGAGAAGGAGTTAATCTCCAAATGCAACGATAGAAATAAAGATTTGCATGTTACTTTAAAGGGACACTCCGCGTAGACGTCGAGCAGGCGAAAGCATTGTTTCAGTTTGAAGCGTACAATCTTGAAATGATTCATCTTTCATCCACAATGCTATGAAATATTCATGCTTTGGCCTGCTGGCACCTTGGGGAGCTCCTGTTATAAAAATGATACGATGCTCCTCCTAATATTCAACGCAATTAATAAAGAATGTAATAAATTTTACTCGATTTCTCATTTCCAATTAAATCATTTTTCCTTAAATCATTTTTCCTCACATCTTATCATTTAAATATACAAACTACTGGATTTTTTCAGTTCTAGCTCAGATTGTTAATGTTTCTTTAGACTGTTGGACTCGATGATCGTAGTCCTTAGTTACAGGCCAACTATATTTTCCTAGACTTTGGATGGAAAGTGAAAGCGGGACGACAAATCTGTTTTGTACGCGTCGGCTATCTATTATCGGTAGATAGACCTAGAGGTACTTATCTCGACAGAAACCTGGCCATCCAATGGAAGGTGTAAGTAAAAATAAAGTGGCTGAGGCTTAACGCTAATCGATAAAAGAAACTTGTTGTTGCATTGGTTTAAATAAATTTCAAGAGGACTGCGATAAAGAGCGATATTTTTGCACGTAGCTTTAGTAAGTTATGCGAACAAAATGTGAGAAAACAAGGTAAAACTATTTAATTGGAATAGAAATTACTGAAACATAGGTAGCTATGTACAATCAGTCCCATATAAGTATTCGTACCCTCTACGTCTATTAAAGAAATTTGTCTAAATTAAACTAGTAGCTACATTTAATAATTTAAATTTAATAGTAGTAGTACTGTAGCTCCATTTAAGAATTAAATATAGCTATTCAGCCTAAAGCTACGCTATTATATGTCGTTAGCTATGCCTATTATCGTTCATTCACATTTCATATTTTTCAAAACCACAGAACCATTCGTAGAAAATCCTCAATTCGCCCCGAACGCATGGGGAACATGCACAACAAAAGATAATAGCTCAGCCATTATGTCATTAATGCAGCGTTCCAATTAGTAATTGCCATCAATTACGAATCAGACGTTTAAATAGAAAAATAGAATTTCATTTCGTATTCGCGTGTCTCGTTATACTTATTGCTGAACTGCGAATGTTTACACTGCGAACAACTGTAAGTACACAAAGGATGCGAACAAATGCATGAGTGTATCAGGTCGTTCCATAAGTTCGTGCAGCAGGCTGAAGCAATATTTAAAAAGTATGTATATAAATATATAAAAAGTACAGAAATTTTGTAGTGACAGTATAGTGATAGGTTTTAGAATACTTAAAGGAGTTCATATATTAATTTGAGTGGCATGAATTTATGGAACGATGTAATATATGAAATATAAAAAGTAAACTACATGTTACATATAATATAAAATATTTAGAAGTCATAGTATATTCCAAGTTTCTGTTCTTTGGGTACCTCTATAAAGATATGTATACGAATTTGCATAAAGTTCCACAGCATTGTCTGTGGAAACTTGCAACAATAAGGAAAACTCAATGTTTTCTACTAATTAGAAATTACTTCTTTGTTTTTACAACGCATACTTCCAGATTAAAACTGTTTACTTTATGCTCCATCAGGATAAATAACTAATCTTCTCCAATTTCCAATAGAATCTATCTACCTATACAGTGTTTAGAGTAGCTATCAAATTTTGCTTAGTGCTACTCCCTTTACAGATCGCAAGCGTACCTGAGAACTATGTACTAGGAATTAGGAACCGAGTACAAACTGCTTCTTTGTTTTTACAATGCACACTTCCAGATTAAACCTATTTACTTTACACTCTACTAATAGAATCTATCTATACAGTACTATACAGTACTATACAGTGTCTAAAGTAGCTATCAAATTTTGCTTCGTGTTATTCTCTCAACGGATTGCAAGAGTGTCTGGAACCTACTAGTTAGAAATTACTTCTTCGTTCCTCAACGCATACTTCCAGATTAAAACTGTTTACTTTATGCTCCATCAGGATAAATAACTAATCTTCTCCAATTTCCAATAGAATCTATCTATCTATACAGTATTCGAAGCAGCTATAAAATATTACTTCGTGTTACTCTCTTTACAGATAGCAAGCATACCTGAAAACTACTAGGAATTAGGAACCGAATACAAATTGCTTCTTTGTTATTAAATCAAATCAGGTCCAAATTAAAAGCATTCACTCGCCATTTTCTTACACATTAAAGATAAATCAACCTGCACAGTAACAAAACAAACCTTCGATATTTAATTTCACCATGAATTCAAATAATTCAAATAATTCAAATAATTCAAATTCAAATTCAAATTCAAATTCAAATAATTCAAGATTATTTCAGAAAAGTACAAAATGAATTCAAATATGTAACGATTGAATTTGCTCCAATTTCTAGGGTGTTTTGCAACGAGCGCGATGCGATCGATGGGAGATCGATAGTAGAGATCGTTGATAGATGGAAATCGTTGTTTCCACTCACCGCTAGTTGGTCGAGTTCAGCGAGAAGTGTTGTCCGTAGAGGATCGTTTGATCGATGGTTGGAGCGTGGACCGGAGTATCGTGATCCCGTCGCGTATCGCGTTGCGAGTTAAAAGGCACTGTAAAGGCGACGAGCGGCTGATAGCGCGGCCCGTGTTACTGCCGTCGGACCGTGTTTTGAGATATTTATGTAGGGGAGGCGTTTTCAGCGCACGCGTCGCTCACCCCCCGCTCACTGTTCCCCACCGCCGAGCGATTATCCGATGCGATCGCGGGGTCCACCAGGAAAATTCTTGTCTGCACGCATCGGGTGTCCATGGTGGTTGTCGGTCACGAACACGCGACAGAAATTGTTCGCGGTTCTCCCAAGATGACGTAACGCGAACTGATCCAAGGACGTGAGACTGAGCGTCGCTCAGCCAGGTGAGCGAGTGGAATTTTTTCTCGGCGACGCTCGGCCGCGGTCGGTCGCCCTCGCCGAATGGGAACGCGTCGGTGGCGCGTACGACGGAGCGGGGGGAGACGGAAGCGATTACCCCCTCCACGCGGACAAATTTTATGTTGTAAATGGGTCACTATGTGCTATACAGGGTGTCCCAAAAATGGTGGACGTCATTGAAAGGGGTGGCTCGGGAGGTGATTTGAAACAACTTTTTCCTTAACGAAAATGTTGTCCGAGGCTTCGTTGAGGAGATATTAACGGAAAACCCCGACCAATCAGAATGCGAGTTTGCCGGTGGAGCGCGGCCAATAGCGCGTAGCTTACGACCGCGGGCGCTCCACCG